ACGGGGCAAAGGAAAGTCTTTCTTCGTGATGTCGTTAAGCCTTCGGTAGTCAACGCGGAATCGGCTGGAACCATACTTTTTCTTGACCAGCACTACGGGTGACGTCCATGGACTTTGTGATGGTTCAATTATTTCGTGGTTCTCCATGTCTGCTCACATAGAAGCTAATTCTTCCTGCTTGGCAAGCGGAACTCTTCGAGGAGGCAGTTTAATTGGAGCAACATCGCACGTATTTATTCGATGCTGAACTACATCTGCCTTGCCGAAGTCGTCTTCAGAGAGTGCAAACACGTCCAAATTTCTTTCCAGAAGGTTGACCACTTCTTAATACTCTTTGAGGTATGTCTTTGATGGGTATATTTTCTCCATTTGCTGATTCCAAAACACAGTTCATTCTAGTACTTCGTCTTTCACTCCGATGACGGCAATTAAAAAGTACATCAGGTCTTACGATGGTGTGAGTTGAGCCAGTATCCAAAAACATCTTAGTTTCTCGTCAACATATTGTCCCTGGTACTACCAAGCTGGACCCAGTGTTCTTGAGCCGAGAAATCGTAACCTTGACAGTGGATGGTGGGGCTTGGTAGCACCTAGCCAGCTTTCGCCCCTCAAGGCTGACTATTTTGGAGTTTTCCTGCTGTCTTCCTGGAGAAGCGGTTCTTCGTTAAAAATTTCTGGTCTTGAAATTTCGGAAATATTTTTGAATATGGCCTTCTTCACCGCAAGTTCAACAGGTTGGCTTCTCTCTTAATTTTTGGCGTCTCTCGAAGTCGCTTGGTTTTTGATGATTATTATCACCTGAATTTTGAAGACTCTGATTTCGAAGTTCCTCTCTAATCATTTCTTTTATCAATTTTGCATGTCCTGGTTCTTCGCCGTCGTCATCACGTCTCATAAACCTAACTCTTGATGAACGTCTCTTGCCGCTCTCGGCAGCTTCATATTCCAAAGCACGAGCAAGTGTTTGCGAAAGATCTTTAGCGTGTTTTACACGTAGGTGCGTTTATATTTCCGAATCATAAATTCCATTAACAAATGCTTCTACCGCTAGCTCTTGAATGATCTCCTCAGGAAGTGATGGAAATGCTAACCTGACTAGACGTAGAATGTCCGCTCCAAATTCTTGCATGGTTTCACTGTTTTTTGTAGTCTGCTTCTAAGCTGGGTTTTGTAGACTTCTTTCAAATGTGTGTCACCATACCTCATTTGAAAAATTTCAAGCATGGCCTGATAGTTCTTACGGTTACCTTGTGGTATTGATCGTAAAATTTCCGTTGCTTCGCCTCGTTGGGAAATATAAGTGCTGTTGCCTTCTCCTGATAATTCCACCCGTTAACTACTGCAGCGGCTTCAAATTGGCATAAATATGTGGACCATGCGACTTTACCATCGAATGTTGGCGGCTTCAGTTTACTGCTGCTTGGAGATTGCGCCTCAAATTTTATTGTATCAGATCCTGCATTGTACCTGGTTACTTCTTGTGTAATTTTGATTATTTTTTCTTCCACATGTGTGTGAAGTCGGCAGATATTTTTATCAACTTTGTCTTGAAACTTTATGTTTTCATCTCTAACATTGTTCTGAAACTTCGTATTGTCTTCCTCAATGTTCTTTAGTTTGTCTAGGTTGTCTCCAGGTCTTCAAATTTCTTAGCGTTGTCGTCCATTTTATTCAGCATCTCTTTATATTTGTCATTCATTTTGTCCATTTTTTCGTCCACTTTCCTACTGTTGTTGCTCATTTCGTCCATTTTCCTACTGTTGTCGCTCATTTCGTCCATCATTTTCCTACTGTTGTCTTCCATTTTGTCCATCATTTTGTCTTTCATCAAAATTCAACTTGGATTCTGGTAAATCCCACTTCTGACACCAAATGTACCGTGGATGACCGAGTATCCAACTGTTTCTTCAGCTTCCAACTTTTATTCCACTCGGTATGACTTTAACTACGGAACAGGAACAAACTAACTTCTAAATTAACGTCAACTTCACAAACAATAACAATAACAAACGGAAAACTCGGTCTTCCGACTCGCGTGTTTTAACCTCTTCTGAACTCCGTCGCTGCTGTCACTTCACTGACTCCCCATGGTTCTCGTCGTCGCTTATATAGTTTCCTCCAAGTAACCCAGAAGGTTCTCGAAATCTCCAGCCCAGGTGCGAAATTTCCCTCTTGTCGGTGTCATATTTGACAGTAAATGGAGCCCAAATGGGGCTCCCATTTACTGAAATGCCATGAATTTCGATCCCCCTTCCAAACGTGAGTACCCCAGGCCATTTGCGTTACAATATCTAGCTTTTAAATTTACGCGCCTAAGACTCAGCACATATAAAGAATACAATAGAGGCCCAAGCTCTGACCCCCGGGGTATTCCACATGCATTGGATAAGATGCCACTCTTTGTTTGATTTAATTTAACATATTGGGATCTACCTGTCAAACAAGACCTCAAAATTTTGTACATTTGTCCTCTAATTACCATGCTTTCTATTTTTTTGAATAATAAATCTAAGTTAACCACACCGAAGGCCTTTTTTAGATCAATAAAAATGTCTACGGCTAATTCTCCCCTATCCAGGGCTCTTGAAATATTATCCACAAAGTCCACTGTTGCACTCAGGGTGCTACTGTTTTCCAAGAATGCATACTGATACTTGTCGGTTAATTCATTCTCACTCACATCTTTTAAAATATTTTTTTTCATTATTTTCTCTATGATTTTTGAAAATACACTCAGTACTGAAATGGGCCTGTAATTATTTAGTGAGTTTTTTGCACCTGATTTGAAAATTGGAGTTATTTTAGATATTGTCAGTTCATCTTTCAGTTCATTTCAAGTCCTCAGTCAAGTTCTTCTTGTTCTACAAATTTTGGTTTAAATTTGCCATTGGGTTCTTCTGTACTCTTGTTGTTTTATGTATTTGTGTAGCCAGCTGTCCTCTATTAGTAGAAAACTATTTTCACTCAGCCAGTAATTTTTCATCTTGTTGTGCTCGGATCCAACAACATTTGATTTAGACTTAGAACTTAGAACTTTCACTTTTGTGCATTGCAAGCTAGATGGCGCCACAAAAAAAACGCATTTTGATCGGTAGCTAAACATATGGTTTGAAGATGTTTCAAAAAACCGTCAGAATTGATGTAAAAGCCATTGGGTTTTTATCTGAATTCAGCATAACTGTTCACTAACGGACAATGAATTCCTTCTCACAGTATATGTTTTAAGGTAGTCCCCAATAAGGTCCAATAATACACTAAAACAGTGTTTCGTTAAACGAAACCTGTCGCGAAATTCAGAATCTCCATATTTGTTTATTTGGTCCTCTCGTTCAAGATACCGTCTTGGCCGTTCAATATAACTTAGAAGTTCAATAATTTCATCATCAGAAGATGAACTCGAATTATCCATTTTAAATAATTATAATAAGTTTTTATACGTTAAACAAAACAAAACTGTTATGTAATGCTGTTATGTAATAAGAGTAGGTTATGTTAGGTTAGAATCGCTCTGTTGTAAAAATCAAAACAAACCCTACACGCTTGCGTCAGACGTTATGAAGCCGATATCCATCCATTTTCGAGTACACTGTTAAAAATGAGTTGAAAATTCAGTTACTTTTCAGTAAGTTTTGTAACTGAAAATTTAGGTTTTGGTTGTTGAAAATAAATTCATGCACATTGTGATTGAATTTTCAGTATTCTTATTGAAAATCCAAAATTCAATAACATGGAACTGAAAAGTTTTCAGATCTTAACATATTTGCAGGGACTGATTGAATATCTGTCAGTTCGTACTACAACGGACGAATTAACAGATTTCCAACCAATAGAACACTTTTGTATCATCGTACAGAAAAGCTTATCACAGTTTCACCGTGAAATATCTTAGGCTGCATTGGCGTGGTGAAAAACGCATCTCCATGACAATCTGGTACCCCAGGTTCCAATCCCGGCCAAGGCGTGAAAATTTTCCCGCAGCGATACTTTGGTCACTTCGTGGAAAACATTGGAAGCAGACCCCACAGAAAACAACAGCAGAAATCTACCATAGGAAAACATCTCGACAGGTCCCCCGTATAATTTGTATGTGCGTTAAGCAAATATGCGCCGGAGGTCGCCCACGCTATCTCTGAGTATGGTACGAAGAAGATTTTTTTAAATATCCTTTTCCTTCTTCTTTTTTACCGAAACTCATTTGTATTTTCAACAACAAGATCTGAATTTTCAATAACTGGTTTCTGAATTTTCAATAACAGGTATCTGAATTTTCAGTCACGTGTGTGGAAAAAACTTCAATTACATTTGACTGAAAATTCAACCAGATTTTTTTAACAGTGTAGATATCTATTCGATAACTTATGGAACCAATAAGCTTTAAACAGACGTTGAGAAACCCAACAGACGTGATTTTGGTAGTTTATGAGCTTATGTAAGCGATATGTTGGAGTTCGGAAACCGGGCATAAGTTGCCACTTTTAACTAGTAAATTTTGAAAGTTTTAAGGATCCAAATCTTAAAAGTGTTCAAGTTGACTGCCATATCTTTCTCACTCGTAACGGTTATTCAATGGCAAAACGCATCCTTATTCGCCTATTAAGGAAAACTGCATTTAGAAATTAATTGGGTAATGTCTTGTGAGGTAGATATTGCTAAAATATCGATTTGTTTTGATGATTTCAGGGGTTTTTCTAAATGTGGAGTAGGGTGGTTTATGTCAATTTTCAACAAATGTTGAACAACAAATGAGAATGTGTCACTGTTTAAATTGCCTAACATTAAAGACGAAACATTGATACATTCACTAAAAATAAAAAACCTATAGATTTATAGGCTACCAATAAGGGTGATTTAAAAAAAGCTAAAAATATTTTATACAGACAAAAAAATAAGATTCGACCGGTTTTTCTTTGGTTGGTAACAAAGAACGGACATACCTGATCATTTTTTACTGGATCGCCCTGTATATACTCAATATTGCTTAATCTTCTTTTAATCGCTAGTGCCACCGGATATTCTCGATTATCCAACTAGTACTGACATGGTAGTACGTGAAGGATCTAATGTCAGCCTGCAATGTGCTGCCGCTGGTTCTCCGGAGCCAACAATAACGTGGAGGAGAGAGAATGGAGAGTTGATGGCTACAAGTCACGAAGTTGAAGGTATGCTAATTTATCAATTTAGTCCGCTTTATGCGTACAATTTTTATCAATAATAATTTTTAAATTATTTGGAACGTAATAGGTAAAAGAATAAATATTTTGGCACAAATATTTGAGAAAGTAATATCCGTAGGTTGTGAATGCTGGAATCCAAGCCCTCGTTTAAAATCACAAATTACGAATTGTGAATCTTGTAGGTATTTGCAAAAGGCGCAATGCAAAGATAAGTAATTCGGCCTAAAGTATCTTATCAAAAGCGATGAAGAGCCTTTTGCGGTTGTTCCGTAAAGCTGGTGAGCTTGTTAGGCTTTTATTCAGTAGTGGCCATGGCAATGTTAGACTGGAAATAATCAAGACTAAATCTTAATCCACGGTAGCCAAAAAATATTTTATCCCAATGTCCAAATTTAAAGAGAAAAATAATTAATTAGGTGCTCAATATTTAATTGATAGGCCAGATGTTTGACATCTAGGTTGATAATTTAGTAATTTTCTCCACTGGATGACGTTTGAATTGAATTGAATCGGGGAGTATTAAACACACGCCGTTATTTTAATTACTTGTATAATTCTATGCTGCTTCAGAATGTACTGATGGTATTAGGAATCATATGAAATAATTGCGCTATAATCCGAAATATAAACGATAGCTCAAATATACAGGGTGTCCCACCGGGAACCGTCGCGATCGATATCTGGCAAACTGTAATTAGAAAATATTTGCAAATTGGGCGGTGTGCCGAGCTCACTGGGGGCACGCCGCCTAAAATATTTTCAAGATGGCTACACTTCCGGTTATACCGAAGTCGTCAACTTGCTTATTTAAATCGAACACAGTATATATTATTACATTTTTGAATTCTTCTCCAAATTGTAAATGTATTTAATGTCTTATATCCTATACCAAAGTCTAACCGTTTTGAGATATTTGAAATTTTATGTAAAAAATGACTGTTACAGCCACTCGAATAATTATTCATTTTTTCTACAAGGAAATTTGTCATACTTAATTTGAGTCGCATTTATTGTTGAAAAGGACTTACTTTAATGGAATTTTGAAAACATTTTGAAAACTATTAATACAAAGTGTTAAAAAAATAAGTTTAAGAATACAGTTAAGAAAACCGCCCAAAATCAATTTGTTCAAATGGAAACATTATTTTTGATAATTTTGTCATATTCAGTATTAAAAATAAGTGTAAGTTTGTGTAACGATGTCTATTCCAAAAGTGTTTAATTTTCAACACATTGCCAATTTAATGTTTTCATATGGCTATTTTTGCACATTCTTCATAAATAATAAATAAGTTTAAATTATCTTGGTTTTGTATAATTGGAGCACCCTGGCACGATTATTAATTATTTTCAAAAGGTAACTGACAGCTGTCAGCATTCCTTTGGCATTTGATTCTATTAAAAATGGCCACTTTCGTCATGGCAGCTAAAAGTGACAGGACTTAAAAAAAGGTGCTGCAAAATAGCCGAATGAAAACATTAAATTGGCAATATGTCGAAAACTAAACACTTTTGGAATAGACATCGTGACACAAACTTATAATTATTTTTAATACTAAATATGACAAAATTATCAAAAATGGGGGTTTCCATTTGAATAAATTGATTTTGGGCGGTTTTCTCAACTGCATTTTGAAACTTATTTTTTTAAGACTGTAATAATAATTTTCAAAATATTTTCGAAATTCCATTAAAGTAAGTCCTTTTCAACAATAAAAGCGACTCAAATTAAGTATGACAATATCCCTTATAGGAAAAATGAATAGTTATTCGAGTGGCTGCAACTGTAATTTTTTACATAAAATTTCAAATATATCAAAAACGGTTAGACTTGGCTACATTATATTGTATGCGAAATATATTTAGAATTAAGAGTCGAATTCAAAAATGTAATAATATATGGGGTGTTCCGTTTAAAATAAGCAAGTTGATATCTACTTCCGGTTTAGCCGGAAGTGTGGTAATTTTGAAAATATTTTAAACCGCTTGCCCCCAATGACCTTCGCACACTGTCCAATTTTCAAATTTCTTTTAATTACAGTTTGTTAGATATCGATCCCGGCGGTTCACGGTGGGACTGAACTTCGTTACATATTTACAGCGTGTTGAAATTTGATGAAAATATGTATGATTTGCAATAAAATACTTTTGTTAATTTTTGGCAGTGACTTGCGTAGCTGCACTCTCCCGAGTTTGATAGAGAAAAATTGGCACGCTACTGTATTTTATATTTATTACAAATATTTTTAAAGTTTCTTGTCGTTTTGCAAATAAAACATATTCGTGGATTTTTTGCTACGACAAGCGGTAGATGAGCCAAATTGGAAACTTGCCATAAGATTTCTTAGAAATTACAACGATTAGGAAAATATTCTGCGAAAAGTGGAAAATGCGCTACCATTGTGTATGACAAATTAGTAGAGAATTGCATGTTTCACAATTGAAGGTACAGTTGAGTACACATCAAAGTATACGACTCCTAAAGAAGATTTTTCCTGTTTTGGTAAATCCGGCTTTGTGAAACACGTCAAATATATTTACGATGTATGACACAAACTTATTTGAATTTCACAATTTAAATAATCTCTTTATAAACCATGGATATTTTGTTAACCATCCTTCCTTGATTAATGTTAATTATGTAATTTTGAATGTCATTTACGTTAAGCTAGATTAAGGAAGAAAGTCAGCCGTAGACAAGAACTATTTAATCGTCTACTTTTATGTCACGCCAACTGTAGATACTTCGAAGATTACACTATCATATAAGACAAATGCTCCACTTGTATCCATGAGATGGATCAAAGTTATTGGAATTTTATAGCTAAATTCAGAATTACCTTTTATTCAGACCTCGACTTCTATCTAACGATATCATGTATATGCGGAGAAAAACTCCCGTGCGACACACAAAGCTCATCGCATCGCTTTTCATTAAATACGTGGAGTGGAGTAATTGATGGTTATATTGGAATCATTGTCAATAAGCGGCTTACGCACCGAAGATATTTAGACCTGCTGCAGAATGAATTGCCAAACCTTTTTGACGACGCTCTACTGATGACGAGGACATAGATGAAACAACAAGGACGAGGAAAGGTATGGTTTTCCAACAGGCCATATCACTTTCGCATTCGGTCGTAATAACGAACCATTTAAATGCGACGTTTCCGGACTGATTGATTGGATGTCGTGGTTCTGGGCATTGGTCACCACGTTCACCTGATTTAGCGACCCTAGATTATTTTCATTGGAGTGTACACGTCTACCAGAAATTGTCTAAATCCAATTTAGAAGCTGAATCATCGATAAGCGTGTAGAGAGCAAAAGTTCTTGAACACTTGCTGTAATTCTGTTTTTTTCGATTGATTGTAAAATAGTGTAGCTTTTAAAATTCTTAGATATTTTTATCTACTTTGGCCACTGAGTTTATGTATATCCCACAGACTATAAAAATGCGCGAGCCAGTAAATATAAAATTTACAATTTTAGAAAACACTGACGTCAGCTTATCTGCTCCAATATAAACGGTGGTTCCCATTTAAATGTACCCAATTTAGTTCACCTACCACAAATCTTACTTTAGAATCCCTACCGCTTCTCGAAGCAAGAAAATATAATAGGTAGTTTCAGTTAAAAATACAGTGGGGCACCGTATTTCTCTTTAACACATTCGGTAGCATGCATATACGCACGCCACTGGCAAACATTTACAAAATTATGTTATGGTGCAACATGCGTCTTTTTTGACTATTGATCACTGAAAAAAGTCGTTAAAATATTTCCGTGCGATTAGAATAAATTCATAATTTTGAAATTTTTACACGCTGTAAACCAGTAATGAGCATTTTGAGATTTTGTTTATGAAGCAGAATTTTGGACATGGAACACGTGGATCAACTATGCTCTTTGTCTCATGAAACACCTTATATATGTATCTTGAAACTCCTTGAAAGCCACCTCTGTCCATTAGCTTAGATTTGCTTACGGTGCCCAATCGATGCCAAAAAGTACGTAAATCCGATTTAAGCTATTGGAAATACCACGTAAATGTTATCATTCCTCTTTGTCAGCAAAAAGGAGTAAAGCCATAATCTATGTTTATATTCAGAGAATTCGACTCGTAATTTTGAGTCGCTGATCTAAGCATAAATGGTTAAGCTCAATCGAATTATATCGATAAATTTCAGTCTAATAAGAGAGCCTTAAAGAACTAGTTGTATCAACAACATAATGAAATACGTTCTGCTTGTGTTGAGATAAATACATAAGTAGTTATTTTATTTCAAGGCCCTTTTCCCTATTAATAATCTAATAAAGCTTTTAATCTATAACTATACTCTTTCCGGTATGCGGGACAAAAATATTATAATGTAAAATTAAAAATAACATACCTATTCAATACTCATTTTGATGTCACTGCTAAAGCAGAAAGTCAGGTATACGTTACTCTATATTTACCCAATAAAATACATTTGTGGATCTTCTACAACGAATTAAACATTTTACCAATAAATCACGTACGTAAAGAATTACACACTTAAATATTTGCAATAAATACGATTCCATATAATCAGTTTATTGATATTTACAACATTATTTATGTAGGGGCGTTCGTTTATACTTAGTAACAAGTAAACATCAACTACTATAAAACATATATTTACACTCCCAAACGGTAGACAATGTGTAATGGCAGTT